AGTATCGATATTTTGTCAAACGAAACCATTTTACGAATTTTATTAATTTTAGTTTGATTCTCGACATTTCGAATGTTTTGCAATGTGTATTATTATCGTAATTAGAAGAAGGCATTACTTAATCATGATAATAGTTTTTATAATTTAAAGTTAAAAGTATTATTTTCCTTGCTCTCTTCGAGTATTTAAATAATGAGAGAAAATCCCTCCAAAGGTAAACTTTGGATTCTTTATCAGCCGTATCGCCCGATAATGATGCTACTAAGAGGGATCGTTACTTATAAATCGTCTCAAGGGGCCCGCCGTCTAAGCGACTTAGAAATAAACGTTATGATAAACGTTCTGGGACTTGTATCCATTTGTAATCTGTTATCAATATTCTAATATACGACGTCTGTGTTAAACAATTTTTTTTTAGTCTCTGCTTATATGTTGACAAAAATGAAATATGGAAAATACATTCCTCTTTATTTTTTTTTTTGTATAAAGGATAATATTATATTAAACATAGATAATTGCTGAGCTATTTATTGGTTTCGGTCATGGATTCAATTCTCTCAGTCTGACAAGTATTTTTTTTTCTGGGTTTCCAGGTCTAATGTTTTGCGCATGTTTCGTTTCTGCCAACCCAAAAAGGACATCAGTTTCATCGTATCGTTGAAAAAAAAAGTTAAAAAAAAAGTAAAGTAACAAGCTATACATGTCCCACTCCTGGGCAAAGGCCTCCTCTATACAGAGGGTATCAGGGCATAGTCCACCACGCGGCCCCACTGCGGATTGGCGGACTTCACATATCTTCGAAATATATTTTTTTTCGTTATTATTTCCAAAATATGCAGGTTTCCTCACTATGTTTTCCTTCACCGCGGAGCACGTGATAAGCCAGCACTTAAAGTTAAAAAAACTTAATTGGTACCGGCACCGGGGATCGAACTCAGGTTGCTCGGGTATATTGAATTAAAGGCGAGCGCCCGGACACTGAGCTATCACGGCTCTTTTTAACAAGAAAAAATAATAAGTTAAAAAATAAAATAAATATATAATTTATTTATTGTTATTGTGGATAACGTGTACTGGATACTCGTATCCTGTGTTACTGCCGACCATATTTTTTTATATGAAAATCCAATATTTTTGCGACGAACCCTCGATTACTGAGCTTTACGCCTGTTGTTATTTCGCGGTTATGCCGTTGTAAAGCAGACTTCCATTAAGTCTGATTACGTGAAGACATTACTTTTTTATTTATTGTTATTAACTAAACGGCGGATGCGTTAATAAATGTTTTATGCCAAAAATTCCTTATTATCCACAATAGCCCCTAAACTTTTTATGTTGTGCGTCGACCTTCCATTCGATAAAGCTTTATAATATGCCATTGTTTAAAAATGTCTTTACTGAAGAATTATGCTTCCCTCTATTGCCAATATCCAGATCTAGTTTTAGTTGAAGCTCGCTAACTTTAAAATAAAAATTTTGTGAATAGTGCTTTTAATACCACAATTTTTCGTGTATTTTATATAGAAAGATTTTATATTAAAAGTTTCATGTTAATTCCGTCACTATATCTGTTCAGAAATAGTCACAGAATTATTTTTGCTTCTACTTTTCGAACTTAAAAACGGAAAAAAAATGCTTTAAAAAAAAGTGGAGTTGGTCTGTAGTTTTCGCGCCGTTGCATTTTTCTATCTAATTATCACATCCTACCTCCTCCCTTCAAACGAGCCCAGCCGGGGCACCAACGCAACAATCGGCACCTGATATGAAAAATACATAGCTTATGGCGGCTTCCGTTCAGGGAGTTGATCGCGATCTCGATATTGAGACCGAGACCGACCAACTGGAGATTATGGTCGTAAACGATAAACTGAAAATCATTGTGAAAACAGATTGATCCCATACCACGTCGAAAAACAACTTTCACACAACGGAGGTGTAACCGTGAGCATGAACGCTGTAAAGTGTTCTTAACGTAGGGAATTTAAAAGCAAAACAAACCGTAAAATAGTTTCATTTAGCTACGAGTAAGTATTCGCGTAAACACAAGAAATCATTTTTTTACCTGTGGTAGGGTTACGCAACAGTCTGCGCTGTAGCACAGTTGGGCAGGTCCATCCGGGGAAGTACCACGACCTTACAGAACACCGGCATGAAGTAGAAGTATTATACAACTGCGTTACATCTGGTGAGTTAGGTAGCCGGGGCCCATTTTATTAAAAAGATGACAGGCAACGCATCTGCAACCCTACGGATGTCGATGGGCTGCGGTTAACATCAGGTGAACCGCCAAAAAAATATCAGAAATGTACAGTAAGATAAGCGTTGTATATTTAATGGTTATCAGTGATTAACTAAGAGCTGGATCGAATCGGAGTCCTCCAAATCCTATTCTTATTAATCTCTAATTATGTAATTCATCTTATCACAGGTAACACATGATTATTTATTTGTAGTAGTTCTTAGGCCCATTGTTATTTAGCTGCCTCGAAAAATAATGGGAAATACATAATTTTTCTCCGTCGACGTGCAAAATAAACGCTCGAACACGTGAAATTCTAACGGAATTTTCCTTTGTGGCGCTATCGAAACAGCTGAAAAAACGTTCTGTGTACTCGCTGTGTTGGAACCAAAAGCACATTCCTACGTGACCACCGTATTATTTTCACTTTGCGCGCGACAAAAATGGCCTGCACTTTCCTTATACGACATGTTATACTGTAGGCTTAGGCGAGACACAAGCCCTGATGGTCAGATATCAAGTATAGAGCGTAAGTACCTTACGCTGTAACACTGAATTCAAATCTCCTGCGAGGATATTAGACAATTTGAACTTTACACAGTTTATCTAATTTAAATTGTTTTATCAGCAGAAATTAGCACTATAATTGTTTTTTTTTGTATTTTGTTTTTCACCATTTTCATTACATCTATGTATTTCAACATTCTCTTATCTTTATGAAGAAGAAGAAACGTTTATTCACGGTCTAAGCACAATACATACATATAATACTTAAAAATAATAATATAAGTACACATTATGTATATTAGAAAAACTTAAAATAAATGTAAACATAACAAACAAAAAACAAAACAAAAATTTATGATGATATGACCAACTAAATCATGGTCATGAAATCATACAACAATCTATTGTAAACTGAAACTGTTTTTAAGGATATATGACGTTTATTTTTAATTTTAAGATCTGACGTTGCGAATGCAATGGAGGCAGACTGTCCTGTTACCATGAATGCATACATAACAAGTATAATTTTTAACAAAAAAAAACCGACTTCAATCAGAGAATTAAAAACATTGTTAGTACCTATAACATTTAATGATGGCCCTCGATTTCTCTGGGATGCCATCATCAAATCCGGGTTTCCTTATCGAGGTTGGTCCTTGGGATTTCTTATCCGACAAAAAAAGAATCATCAAAATCGGTTCATAAGCGACTAAGTTATCCACGAACACACTTAAAAAAATAAAAAATGATGTGGTGTCGTGGGACACCAGGTAGGAACGAAGTTCCTTCGGCTAATGTAGAACCGACACAAATTGCAAAAAAAATCGTGCTCAATTTTATGTAGGTTTTCTTGATTTTTCTCTTAAATTTTGCTGATTAGTTTTTATTTAAGTACAAGAAAGTATTTAGGAAATTCAGTATTTTAGGAAATAATAAATTACTTAAAATAAAAAAAAAACATCGTAATTCAAATTATCAACTAAAATAACAAAATATGTCTCTTTATTTTTGTTTGACAACATAAAGTTATGCGACTGTCGCGCCTGCGCACGTCTCATTTAACGGTTTTATTCCACGGATTTTTTCTTGCGGTTTTACTATCACATTTTTTTTAGTTCGGTCGCGCAGCAAAATCCCTATCCCCTCCAAGCCTGCCGTAAGGAACTTCGTTCCAATAATATATACGGTCGAATTGAGAAACGTCCTCCTTTTTTGAAGTCGGTTAAAATAGCTTTATTAGGTAATGCATTGTAAGCGCGTAAATATAAGAAATTTCATGAATTTAAATATTTGTTAATATTGATATGTAGGTATATAAAGCTGATAAATTTAGAAGAGAATGTATCCAAAAATGTATCCATCGCAAACATCTCGGTAACACAAAACATTTATATTGCAGGCTTTATTGTTACTTTTAGCTTATTTAAGTTGCTAATGTGATATTGAACGATAGTGAGAGGTCTCGAATAAAATTAATTTAGAGTGACTTCTTAATGGCCCTGGGAGGCGTTGATAGCGATTTTGTGTTGTAAATGAGCGTCACGGGAGAATAAAGTTATATTGGTTCGCCGTCAATATTGGTTATCATTATTATTCACATCTATAAAATAAAATTGTTATTGAAATAATAAATTGTCCTATTTAAAACTCTCTAGGGAATGAAATTTTAGACATTTTTTTTTGGAGAACTTTTGTTATACACCCTAAATTCGATATTTCCGGTTGTTAGCTTAGTGAGAATTAAGAAACAACCGCTCTTTTTCCTTTAACCCCAAACGGTAAGCAAGGTATAGGAAACGCGATCCATATTCCTGCCAACTTATTTCGTTCAAAACATGACAGGCAGTAGTCCCTTCTCGCCTTAGACCGGACTCAAACGCGTGTTTATTTATTGCGAATTAAAAAAAATCCATAAAAAGTAACCTTAGTATTTGTTCAATTACAAATACACTGTATTTTGTAACACAGTTCTAAACTATCACTGACTAGGCTTCTAACGTTTACAATCTCTTTACTTTTATTTTTGTAATCTATTTAAAAATATTAGTATATTTAATGGCGCATAAATGGAATAAATTGCTTATATTAATAAATATAATAAATTATAATATGTAGGAAAAGTACGAAAAGATTGTTACCGCTGTGGGAATCAAAGATTAGCACCATAAACAATTTAAAAATATAATAAATGTTTAAAATTTAAGATTACTCTTTTATCCAAAGTTTTCATCAACTTGCCAAAAGTAATGATTCAAATATCAGCTTTAATTATCGTATCGTGGATGAACGCGACAGTTATGTCACCACGTGTGGTGGAAGCTCTCAGGTCTTTCATCTCCGCGCCGCGGATGCGTCTCGGTGCCCATGTCGTCTGGCGGAAGTCTTTGTGTGCGCGCCGGAAACGGATGTTGAACCGTACTGCCGTTGCACCCACCTCAGTTCCCTGTCTACGTTCCATTTTCAAACTTTGCTTCGCCTCTTTGAACTAGATAATAAGAGCGTTGAGATAATCGCTCGTGAGTGCAAATACAAAAACGATTATCACTGTATTTGTGTTTGTTAAAAAAGTTTGTACTTTTGTCTTGTCATTTCTACGAATACATTCTCGAATCAAAATGTATAAGATTAAAATGGGTAACAGATTAGGACAGTTTAAGGTGATTATTTCCGATTACCGGACACAATAATTAGACAATTGTTTGACGACCCTGAATGCGGAACGTGAATACTTTAATGTTACGAACCTACCTTTTTTTATTGTTGTAGGCCATCTTTTTTCAAAACAAATCCTTCGAGAGACTTCACCTTGTAGCTGGAAAAATCATATCCATATATTCTCAATTCCGGGAACGAACCTGACATATATTCAAAGAGATATCTGATATATTATATATTTGTAGAATTTTTCATAATAATTTGTACCTGGAGATAAATAAAGATAATAATGTTGTATCTTGTATTAACTGATGTTTTTGCTTTCAGTCCCGGGACTATTAAAGCTTCATCTGACGCAGAACCGGTGGGCTAGCCAGAACCCACGGGTTTGGGAAGATAATAATGTTCGGTTAGTCAGTTGTTCGCAATTCTCAGAGACGAAAACGAGCATGAAAAGAATTACGGGCCAACTTCATTATCCATTGTCGCGCCACACCAGTGGCCATTGTTCTGTACAGTAGCCCGCGTTTAGCCAGCCAGTTGGTATTTGTCCTCACATTTATTCAGCGAGTGGGGAATGCACGTGTGGCGGTTATTAGATCGCCGTGCCATAGTCCCTATTGTGAGAGTATTGCATACTATGTCATTGTATGGAATATTCTGCATCCTTGACGTTAATTGTCTAATATTTATAGCGTCTTAACTATTTCTTAGCATCTCGCTTTGATCGACTATTAAGGTTATTTTTATTAAAAATCTGTTATAATTAAATAACAAAATCTGATAAATGATATCAATCACTATCATTTTCGTCAATAAACTGTATTCTCAGTTTGGCGAACTTAATGTTTTTGAACCAATTGTTTTTACTCTATATTTATTACAAAATAAATTAAAAAAAAATATCAGCACCCAAAACAGAAATGATAGTTTTTTCCAGTGCCAGTATAAATATTAATTTGTACAGATATTGAATTTTTTGACAATAACATATTCTCTTCGACTAAGAAACTCGTCAATTTAGCTAGATTATCTTTCTCCGATCGCTGATTCCCCATGTTTACGGCATAACGATAGGGGAGCATATCGAGACTGGAATCTGTAACCCGCGCCGATGACAGGCCACTTACGATAATTTAATTTGGGCGGGAGTAGGGGGCGCGCAAGGGCGGGGCAACAAAGGTGGTTAATTGGAATGTCGGGGTGCCTCAAAGTATTCTCGCAAATCGGGATTACGCATCTACGATCGGTGAAGGGATTTATGTTCTAATGGGACCGAAATCGAGACGCGGTTTGGATTTTGTTCGTACAAACGTTTCAAAATGAAGTGATTCATTATCAGCAATATGTCGTTTTCAGCTAAAGAGTAAATGTATTCACTATCTTTACGGGTAGGTTAGAGAAGGGCTTGTAGGTCCATAGGTTCAAAAATAAGCGAAGTGTATGGGACAGTGTTTAAGGGTTCGGTTTCCGGTGCCAGCACCAATGACATTTTTTTATGTGAAAAGTTGCCAAGCGAGCAGACAGTTCACCTGATGTTAAGTGGATACCGCCGCCCATGGACATCTGCCACACCCGAGGGTTCCAGATGCGTTGACAACCTTTGAAAATTGGCTACCTCACTCACCAGACGAAACGTGAAGTATTTGTCATACTTCCACTTTACGCCGGTCTTCTGTGAGGTCGTGATACTTACCCGGACGAGCCTGCCCATTCGTGCACCAGCCGAGGCTGCTGCGTGGCCCTACCACAGTTAATTTGACTGGAAAAAAAATATTTTTTATTCTTATATAAGGAGGTATCAAGCGAGCTGGCGGTTCCCCTAATGGGATAACCGCTCCCCATGAACATTTGCAGATATCTATTAAACACCAGACGAAACGCAGAAGTATAACAGTTTCACTTCATGCTGGTCTTCTGTGAGGTCGTGGTACTTCCCCGGATGGCCCTGCCCATTCCCGCAACAGCGAGCTGTTGGGTGGCCGTACCACAGGTAATATACAGCGTGTCGTTACCACCGCGACAATAAATCACCGATTAGCAGGACCTTTTCCGCCACCAATGTGTATGTTTGTTGTTGAAAAGTGGTATGTCTGTTTTCCCACTAATCTTTTTTTCATTGAATGAAATGTTATAACTTATTTTCTAGACTCTACCTCTGTTATGGGGCAAAAAAGACAGTCGAAAAGTTCTCGAAAACTTCTATTAGATTATTAATCACAAAGTAATATCATCGTATATAGTGAAATAACTGATTATTACATTGGCCTCATATTTGTCTTTATCGATCACGTGTTTTTTTTTCTTTTCTATGCGAAATGTTATCAAGAGTAGAGGCGGGTCTCCTGATGTTAAGTGAATACCGTCGCCCGTAGGCGTCGATTGATATTGTTTGCGTAATTTATTTATTTATTTATTTATTGCACATCCATTAAATAGCAAAAAGGTGTTAGGGTAATTAGTAAAATAGTTCTTTATGGACCCTGTTTATAGGGCATAGTACAAAACAAATCATAAATTCGGAGAGAGCAAGATGTATCACTTAGGTAATTTAATGGGGTACTTGTATATGTAGTTGGTATTTTGAGTGGCTATTTATTTTTATAGGTAACATTTATTAGTTTTAATTTATATATTAATTATGAGTAATTTGTTTAATATATTTATAATGTGAGATCATTATGTGTTATTTATATCTATAATATCCAAGGTATCTCCAAAATATTATTTTATGTCATAATATGACTTGGTAAGTAACAATTCTTTTAATTGTTTTAGGAAAGTTTTATCGTTTTTTTTTGTCTTTTAATATTTGCGGTAGTTTGTTATATATCTTGATGGTCATTACATAGGGACTCGTTGAGTATAATTGTAGTGTAGAAGTGGGTTGCACTAGTCTGTCTTTATGTCGTAAGTTGTATCGTACAGGAATTTCACTGCACTTTTGATAAAGCCAAGGATTTTTTCGAACAAATTTACATATTTCATATATATATAAACTTGGAAAGGTAAGTATATTTTTTCTATATCACGATATATAATAATAATGGTAACATTCCCTCGACGGTATATTTAATCCTTAATTAATTTCACGTGAATATGATACTATTTGAAAGTTAAGGACTACGTCTGCATACCAATGTATGTAATTGTATATGCTGCTATTTATAATCATGAAATAGTTTATACTTTGTTGGCATGACGCTCGATATGTAAAGGTTATACCATCGTTTTTTCAAAACTCAATTTTCATGTTTAACTTACGTTATATTGTTCATTGTTAACTGCGGAAAAAAGTTGATGATTTATTAATGACAAAAAAGGCGACTCGTACATAGTACCCCAAGCTTATTAGCATGCGTTTTTAATATAAATTGAAATGTAAATCGTAGTACTTAACTCAGATGCAAATCTGTTATTGATGCACACACTCGTATGAATTAATTATATTAAGAATAATTTAATTTATTTACGCATAATTAAACTTTTTAAGTTTTTTAAAGTTCTCCCGTAATCATCACATAAAAATAGTGTTTGATAAATTTTAACAACATATACCTATTCATCAAATTAAAATGGAAAATTTTAAAGTTTTTTATAGTGCTAATCTCTGCACTTAAGATAGAACATCAAAACATGTAGAAAAAAGAAAGTACGAAAAAAGTACGAAAAGACTGTCGCCGCTGTGGGACCCACGTCTTCGGCATTCGTGGCCTCTAGCCACTGAGCTAAATGGCTGATAGCCACAGCGCCGAAAATCTTAACGCATTCTTTCTACATTGTTATTTAGCATTTGAAGCAATGCTTGGCGCATCTATTGTTATATCCTTTCCAGCATACAAACAATTTCGAATATTCGAATAACGGCAGCGGTGCACGGAAAAGAAATACATTTAACATAATAAATAACCGAAGCATTACTTGAGGTCACTTCGGCCCTCAATTAGCGCTAAGCGCGGACCGTTAAAGCAAATTTCCCGATACCGGTTACGGCCTTAAGAGTATCCCCGGTCCCTAATTACGTTTCTGATGTTTGGATTGCTTCGCAGCCTTTTGCCACAGCCCAGGGGTATATTATATGTTATATATATTCATATGAGGGATTTTTCACAGGTGCATATTATATACTAAGAATAGACATTTCTTAAAATTTTCAACTGAAGTTGGGTCGGATTGATGTGATAAATTTTTGTTCAAGATATTTTTTTTGTGTTAATCCTTTATTATTTAAGGGCCGGTTAATTGTAATCTTTGTAGTTTTGAAGGTTTTAAGACCAGGCACGGCTGTTGCACGGATGGGTAGGCTGGTGCGGGGAAGGTCCTGTTGTAGAGTTCCAATGCAACTAAAGTAAAGTAGCTGGGTGGCAGAGTATAAGTAATTTCAATTTATAAATATATCATTTTTTTGATTTGTAATATGATTAAAGAATTAATAAACGTAAAATATTTGTCCTTCTAAGACGATGAATCAATTGACGAGTACATATTATTCGTTTTACTTAACATTTGCAAAGCTCAACATTTTTAAACCCTTTTTTCATTCAACGCTTTCGAAGCAGTGGAACTCTGATTCCTAGTCGACATTCCACCAAAAATAATTGTTCTAAATTTTGACACGTCTTGCATTTTACCCTAACTTTATTATTGTCACTTTAAAAGTCGCCAAGAACTGTTATTTCTTTTCCGTTTTATCTTTTAGTTTTATATAGCCTTAGACGCAACATTCAAGTTGCTAGCATATTTTGAAACTCGAATGTTGTATAACACCGGTGGAGCGGAGTCAAGTACCAGGGGAGCAGTATT